CTGGGAAGGAAGAAGACAAAGCGGAAGCGCAACGGAGCTGGGAAGAAGATGGTCCAAAGTGAGAATACAGAGTAGAGGGATAAGGGAAAGGAAGGGAATGGATCAATTGATCGATCTGTTTAGTGTTTAGGGTTTCAAACTGAAGAGAGTGACTGAACGACGCCGTTCAAGGAAAAAAAATCATTAATCTATAATTAAATATAAAACGACGTTGTTTTGCCTATACTTCGGTTCGGTTTGGTTCAGTTCAGTACCGAACTGAGCCAGATTCGATTCGGTCCAATTTTACACTTTCGGTTCGGTTTTTTTGGGCCTCGGTTCGGTTTTTAGTTTTTCGAACCCACCCCTCATATTTTGTACCAAACAACAGATGGAACATGGGCATTTTAATCATTTTAATCTTTTGATTCTGTTCCGTCCATGTGCTACCAAACGCAGAACGGAACAATCGTCCCGTTCCATCCTGCGCGTACCAAACATAACACGAAACATCTATTCCATCCCGTCCCGTCTGCGTACCAAACGGTACATAGGGACAAAAAAATGAAACCAGAAGCTGGAGCAATAAGGTATCGTTTGGTATGTAGACGGGATGAGACGGAACGGAATAGGACGGGACGGGACGGGACGGAACGGAAAGGGAGCAAAGATGCCCTCGGATGGAAACAAGGAGGAAGAAGAATGAGACGAAGAGGTTATAATTTTGTGGTCCATGAATGTGGAACAAGTTGTTCCAGGGGGTGAGGCGGAACGAAAATTCACCCAAAATTCGTCCCGTGGAACAACGTGTTCCACCTGTTTTAGGCGCACCAAAAGTGGGACGGAACATCTCCTCTCACTCCGTTCCGTCCCGTCCCACGTACCAAACGGTGCCTAGGGGACGCGTGGGCAATCAGGGCAGAAATGTCTTTTTACTGTGGAGAAAGAGCAGAAAGTGACACATAAAGAGGCATTTGAAGGGCGTTTTAGTCCGTTTACTATTAATGAACAATGATTTTGTGTTGGGTTTTAGTATATGTATAATTTTTCTTTAGAATGATCGAACTCTTCCCAATAGTTCTCACGTACAATCTCCTCTTCTCCACGATTTTGTAGCCTCTCATTTTTCCTAAATTCAACTAATAGGGTTTTATCTCTTATGTTTAACTGGTTTTAATTTTTGAGGATATTTAAGACTGTTTAAATGATTTTTCTGTTATATTTGAAAAAAAATGACATTTATGAAATTGGATGTTAAATTTTGTCTATTATGATAAATACTCTTGGATTAATTGAGAAGAGAATAAAAGTGATCCGACGGACGCATGCAATGTAAAAGAAAAGTAAGAAAAATAGAGGCTGAGAGATATTTAGGGCCTGTTTGGTATTGGATTTGAGTCCAAAGTTTTTAACTCAAAAACAATTTTTAAGTTTTAAGGTAAAAAAACTTGTTTGGTAAGCCCATTTTGCAAAACTGGACTCAAAAATTTTAAAAACAGCCCATTATAATTTGAAAACAACAAAAGTCAGGTTTTAGGGTTTTTTTTTTCACAAATTCGTATCCCTGCGTTGCAACTCGCGATGGAGGTCTGAGAGACCTGCGTCGCAGACCACGCCTTGCGCCTCACCTACGACGAACGACCAAGAGATTCCGGCCAATAGGGTGAAGGTTCCGGTGAATAGCTTTAAGCCTCGAATCTCTGAGTGCTTGATTGGGGACGAAATTGGGCCATTCTTTTCATTGCAAGAAACGATCAAGGTAATGGGTCTGTCTCTTACTATTTTGTTTGGTTCCTTGGAAAATGGAGGAAATGATGGGAAAGTTGATTTATGTGTTTTATTTGTTGGGTTGTGAGAAATTGAGTTTATATATCTATTGGTATGATTTATTTGTGTACTGTGTGTATATATTAACCTAACTGAGCTCGATCGAGCTCATAGCTTGGTAATTAATCTGAAAACTCTATATTTATGTTTTCTGATGTGCCCATGATGATTGATTTGTGAACTGAATTTGTTGTGATGTGGGTTTTCTCCGATTTGGGATATTTCAGTCATACTGTCATTTTTGTGGACTGAATTTGTTGTCAAGTCTAACTGATTTTGGGTTGAATGAGATGTTACTTAAGGTTCGATGACTGGTTTCGGATGTAACTTATAATCATGTGGTGCTTCTTGTGTTGTGTTGTGGTTATGTTGCGTCCATAGCCTTTGGTAGTTGATCCCTGTGACCTGAAGTTTGATTACTTACTGTCACTCTTTGAGTTAGTAGCAAGTTCTGTTAGAAAATATCAGAAAGTGATATCTTTTCTACCATGTTTCTTTCTAATTGTGTTCATCTACCCTCATGTGGCTGGTCTCGCATTAAAGATTTGATAGTTGTGTGTGAATGTAACGTGGAAAGTCTGCTTAGAAATTCTGGCTTTAGATTGTAGTTGTCCTTGCATTTCTTACCATGAAAATTATTTGGTTGGCTTATATTGATGACAACTAATTGAAACGTAGTCTGGTTGAGCGGTGCCATATATTTGAAAGAAATAATACCACAACTCGATAAGGAAATATAATTCCCTATTAGTCGAGGAAGATTGTAGTTATACAGTTTAAGATAATTTGCTTCCATCCACAGAAGAAGTAGAACAAATAATACCAAAGCATTATAAACCAAAAATGTATTTGATATCAAGCATGTAGTTTCGTGACAATTTTTGAAGTTACCTTCGGAACATGGCTTCCTTATCGATCCTCAAGCCTACCAATTTGAACTCCAAAATAATTTCACATATCATATCAACCATCGGATATCAAGCACCTTTTAAATGCTTAGACAGACACCATCCCCCAACCCAAACCACAACAAAGAGGAAAAATAAAGGTTTAGTTAGACAGTTCAAACACCAGAAAGCTTTGTGAATATGAGACAACTAGGAACAATTACTTCGATAGGAGCCTTTTTGAATATCCTGTTTCTTTGCTGCTGTCCTAATAGTCAAGACAATTGAATGAAGTCTCATACCATCACCAAATTAACCGAGTCTCTGTTTTACACCAAATATATACGTTGTCAGTTATTGTTAAACCTTTGTCTTGTTCATGTGTAGTTTTCTGTTGTTTTTGTGTTTTGTACATTCATACCTTAAGTTTTAATATTATACTTTAGCATTAGCATTCGTAAGTGAATGTAGCTTTTAACTTTGTATTAATTTTTGATGTTTCTATTTACATTGTTCTAGTACGTGTCTGAGAGATGTCAAACAAGGACTTTGAAAATGACCTTGATGATAAAGCTAATTGGCCAAAACCTATTGAAGACTACTTTATTAGTCTGTTGTATGAAGAGACAAAAAAAGGCTTGCAAACCAACACTTTAGAAAAGAACCAGTGGGATGCGATTGATATGAAGTTGTTTGACAAATATGGTAAGAGATACACTCGTGAAAAATTGAAACAAAAATATAATCGGTTGCGGAAGATTCATCGTGAGTTTGCCAAGCTTGTTAGTCATACTGGGATGGGTTGGGACCCTGTTGCAAACACTGTTCAAGCATCGGACGAAGTTTGGTCAGCTTATATTAAGGTATTTATTGTATTATATAATGTATTTTCTTTATAGATATGCATTATATAATATTATTTTCTAAGTGTGGACAACCTATATTAAAATTTTACAGAAAAACAAGTTTGCTAGCCGTTTCCGTAGCAAGGGGTGTTCTCATTATGAGGTGCTTGGACAGATTTTCAATAATACCACTGCTACTGGTCAAATGCAATATGCGTCCACCAATTCTCCTCCAAATTCTGATTCTGAGAGAGAGAGTTAGAAGCTGGGTTTCTTACCACTGGTGCACACATTAGACAAAGTACCGGGAGTGGTTCAAAGGCTTTTAGTGAGGGACATGAAGGAACCAGTACCAAGCGTTGTGCTATTTTCCCTCCAAGTGATCTTTCCTCAAAGTCAAAGTCATCCAAGTCAAACAAAATGGACGAAGCTATTGCAGCTTGGGCAAAGTCACTTGATGCCAAGACTGAGGCTACATTAGAAAAGGTTAAGCGTAAAAGAGAGAAGGAAGTATCCTCCCCATTGAGAGAGTTAAGTACCATTGAAGATTGTATGGAAGTACTTGAGGGCATGGAAGATGTTGATGATACCGCTTATTTGAAAACTTTGGAGAAGTTCACTAGCTCGGATTGGAGGATGATGTTTATGAAGATGTCTGAGTCGAGGAAAAAATTATGGCTCAATAGTCTAAAATGAATAGTTAGAGCCCTAGTAAGAAAGCTCAATAGTCCAAGTTGGTTGTTAGTTAGTGTGTTGGTAATACGATGAATTTGCTTAGAATTAATGATAAGGGTTAGTAAGATGACTATGGATATGCTTTTGTGTTTGGTATTAAGATCTTTTGCTTTATGATGAACTATAATTAAATGACTATGGAAATGACTAGTGTTGGTAATATGATTAATGTTATGTTATTATTCTATAATATTGTCTTGTCACTTTGTTTAGCTATTAATTACTTGATAGTTGTAAAATATAATTATTTGTTTGTCTATATAGGATGGATTCAAATGAAGTGGATAACAATGGTTCAAGTTCAGAAAGTGATTCATCATCTGATTTGGATGATTCACTTGGAGAGTTGCTTTTAGTTACAAGATTATATGACCATTACTCACGTTTAAATAAAAAGCCATGCATGACTTCACATTTTTCAGACCGCCAATATGTGATAGAATTATTGAATGGACATCCACATAGGTTATTTGATATTGTAAGGATGGATAAAAACACGTTCAGAAATTTGTGCTCGACATTGAAAGAATTAAACTTTCTACAAGATGATAGATCAGTTTGTGTGGAGGAGGCCGTATGCATGTTCTTGTTTACTATCAGTCATACAATCCGCAATAGGGTAATTGCTGAAACTTTTCAACATTCTAAAGAGACTATGTCATGACAATTTAACCGAGTTCTCAAAGCAATATGTCGACTTGGTACTCGTATAATTCAACCTTCAAATATGGATACTACACCTTCTGAGATTTTGGGAAATCCGAAGTACGACCCATGGTTTCAGGTAACATATTTATAAAGTACATTTTATTATTTAGTTAGATCATGACTATTATTTTTCTACAAAACCTAGAAAGATACATGTTAAAGCTCTAGAATAACAACTTAGGTTGAAGTAAACTATATTTTGTGTACTAACATGTTATGATTTGAACTATAAAATGGTAGAATTGCATTGGTGCTATTGATGGAACACATATCAGTGCATGGGCTCCTTCATCAAAACAAATTTCATACCGAGGTAGAAAAGTTAGTGTGACACAAAATATTATGTTGGCGTGTTCATTTAACATGATGTTCACATATGTCTACACCGAATGGGAAGGAACGGCTAATGACTCGAGAGTGTTGATGGATGCAATAACAAGAGAAGAGAATAGGTTTCCAATGCCTCAAGAAGGTACGAAGTCATTGAAACGTATCAAATTATTTGTAATTTTTTTCTTATTGTATTTGGCTCAAGTGAAATACTTATATGCATTGTTATTGGAATAGGAAAATATTATGTTGTTGATTCCGGCTATGCCAACATGAGTGGGTTTCTCGTACCATATCGCAAAGTGCGTTATCACTTGCGTGATTTTAGAGGAAGAGGTAAACGTCTAAGAGGAGCAATGGAATTGTTCAACTTTAGGCACTCATCACTACGTAATGTTGTTGAACGATGCATTGGAGTGCTTAAGAATCGTTTTCCTATTCTAAAGTTGATGCCAAATTATCCAATTAGGAAGCAAAGACGCATTCCTGTTGCATGTTGTGCCGTGCACAATTTCATTAGAATGCAATCAAGGAATGATACTTTGTTTCAACAATTTGAAGATAATGATGTTGATGTGGTAGATGAAGAAAGCTCGGGGGCGAATCAAGAAGGGGAAAATATGCATTTGAATGACGACAATGTTATGAATGATGTTAGAGACCACATAGCCAGATCAATGTGGCTTGATTATGTCAATAACAATTAGTCTCAAAGTTTATTGGTTTTCTATAATGTTTTGACGTAATATTTATTGTCTAAGACTTGAAGTTTAATTTGATTATCGAGCATATATTTGTTGTATTAGCACATGGATATCAAAATGGTATGTTTAACTTTTAATTTCATATGTTTTGTATATCTTAAAACAAATACATAATTGAAAAAAAAAAAAAAAAAAAAAAAAAAAAAAAAACCTGTTTTCAAGAGTTAAACCAAACAAGTTTTTAAATTTTTAGATTCAAAAATAGTTTTTAAGTTCAATGCCAAACACATTTTTGAAACCTTAAAAAAACTGTTTTTAAGAGATGTTTTTAAAAGTTAGTTCAATGCCAAACAAATTCTTGCCATACATACATTGCTTACTTATACATTGCCATCCCAAACTCTCGCAGACACTGGCTTGATATTGTCATGCTTTTAGTCTTGGAGAGGAGATAATTTATTTTCTGATTGTTCAATTTCTGAGGTAACAGCTGAGTTTTTCACCACTGCTCGTTCTATGCTGGAGCAAGCCCAGGCACGCAACGCTGAGGTTCTTGAGGCTTCTCGGGCGTTCAAAGGACATACATATTCAAATTCCATCTATTATTTAGAGCCTTGGAGTATGCCCGGATTTGTAAGAATTCCTTTCAACCATAGTCCTAATTTATGCTTTCAGTCGATGCGTACACTTTATTCTAATTTGAGCCTCCCTCCTTGCATGTGACCCGGGAGAAGGCTCAAAGAGAGGAAACTGCTGTGGCTTCCGGGATGGCTATGTTGAAGGCTAAGATTGACAGGGGCGAAATTCCTGGCATTGTTAAGGGGCAGGGGAGGTTGGTTGCCATTTCCCTTGTGCACTAGCTTTCTTTATTTTTTGCACCGCTTCAGCAGAACAAGATTTTGCTATATTTAATTGTATTTCTTCCTAAGCGGTTTCAGGATTTTCCTTAAGAAGCGCAGATGCGAGTTCCCAATTCCAGGAGCTGGGGAACTGAGGGAGAGGCGTCCAGATTATGTACCAGTAAGAATGCCACCACGTCAAACATGTTTTAGTTCCTTGCCGTGCATTCATTCAGTGGATATACTACACGTATATAATATGTTCCAAATTGAACCTTCATGTAGGTCACTGTGGAGAAAGATGCAAGGAGTAATGGCATTCCTGGCATTAGCATGAAGAAGTTAGTTTCCAATTCCCTTTTAATTAATTTGTTTCGTTTTTCATTTATGCCTTTCGGTATGCGTTTGTTTTATCGTGCAATTTAAGATTACATGCAGGCCATAGCCATTGGCACACAGATAGGATGTGGTCATGTGTGTTGTTCACTTGTTCGTTTAGATGTATGCATGAATGTATGCGTGTGTTGAAGGCTTCCTGCCAAGTAATTATTGTATGCCATATCAGTGTGAAAGATTTGCACACACAAAGCAAAACTTATATAACTCCAAAGTGAAGGTTCATTTGTCTGCACCTCTCTTCTCACATCATTTTGGTTGGACCATCTTGGTTTAATTTCCGACTGCAGATATCATGTCCCTGGTGAGATGCCAGTTGGGGAATTTGTTATTTTTATTCGGCAGCAGATCGCGCTCCCCCTGTCCAAGCCTCTGTCTGTCTTCTTCAAAAACACTGAACCTCCTGCTGGTGAGCCACAAACTCATTTTTATTTTAGGCATAACAATATCGCCTTGTCGCACAGTTAAAGTTGTGGTGGTGATGGTTGTAATGATTCTAACAAATGTAAATGTTACAGATGCCTTGATGTCAGAAGTGGATGGGGAAAATAGGGATGAAGATGGGTTTCTTCACATGTCCTACAGTGGAGAAGCGAATGCCTCTGGATCCATCAATCACGAGCAAGAATGGATGGACAAGGCACTGCCTGGATATCGCCGGTTGCACATGCAAGGTGCTTAGTCATCAAACTTTGATATCCAGAAATCTGTTCCTCTCGTGCCCCCTCCGCAACCTTCGTCTTCAACCTCCACTCTTCCCCTTGTCTCACTTCCCAACATTCCATTTTTCCTTCACTTCCAAGCAACCCATTTGCTCCCTTCTTTCTTCTGGGTCCATCAAACTCAAGAATTTTAGGATCTTAGACCATGTGCAATGGTGTGTGTGTCTCAAAACCTAACCGAGAAACAGCTTTTATCCTCCGATGATTTTGGCTTCAAATTTTAGGCCTGCACGATTAAAGAATATTTGTAGTCTATTTTTCTTTAGGTAACTTTCTTAAATGTAAATTATTATTTTTGAAAGCTATTCGTTGAATGTTCATTACGTCCGGCAATGTACTTGCCAAAGTCACTATTTTCCGCGCCTTCCAATTTCTAGAAAACTAACCTACGGACTATAAACATAGTCTCAGTGTGTGGCTTAATCTCATGAAGCTGCCACCAGATTTTGTTGTGGCAATTGTGCCTTCTTTTCCCCCATGTTTTCATTCTGTCGCCTAGCAGAGCAATGGAGATTCCGGTGCTAATGTGAAGCGCCTTGAAAGATCAGTCACCTCTCAGCAGAGCGCTCAAGGATTTCGAATGATGTTGTGCAGTTGCTTCTGAAGCAAGTGACTGACAGTTGAGTGAAATTTCAAACTCTTGCAACCATTGTATTCTTGTTGCCTGCAGACTCGTCCTATTCCATAAACTTGTGGTGCTGTGGTTGGTATCCATTTCAGATGAAAGAAAATTATGTTGCAGGAATTGTTCGGCCAATTGAGTGGAATTTGGTACTAGTTGCGTCTTGTTTTAGTCGTTCAAGTCGGGCTTCATTTGGCACAACTCTTGCACTTTTTAAGATTTTTCGAGGATTGGAATTGCGATTTTTACAGTTTATGAAGTTTGGCTGCAAGTCTTTTTTCACAAATTGTTTGCATTGTTCCTTGGATTTGAACTTGTTCCAAAGAAAATTTAAGATCCTGTGCTAATATTACTCTTCAAGCTGCCCTAAGTGTAAAGAAATGCAGTGTCATCTCTTCCTATCTTTTACATGCAACCAAGCTCCCTCTCTTTCTTACTCACCTCAACAATACCTCCTCATGTATACTCTCTACATTCCTAATCATTACTGGCAGCTTCAAACAAGTTCCAAATCAAAAGCCAAGAAATTATAGTGAGTGCCACTGAAGAATGATATGGCGAATCAAAGCTACTAAAAATTTTTTTGCCAGCAATCAAACAAACACTTGGACAACCCATATGAGCTCGTGTGCCCCTTAGGCTTCAGACGTGGATGAAAGAAGGTTGAGATTCAACTGTAAAAGCAATTGCTCTTTGATTTTAAGACCAAAACGGACTTGTCCTCCCAATATTTTCTCTTCCATTTTCTAAAGAGAACGACTCTTCATTTTGACCATATTCAAGGGATCTGACTAGATTATGGGGTTATTTCATACACACAAATTAAGAAGCAAATATAATATTTGCTATATTATTTGATTGTTAGTTTAAGCAATGCTATGCATGCGAGGAAACGTGGAGGTTTGAATCCCACGTTCAATTTTTTCCTTTTTTTTTTCTTTTCTCCTTTATCATACTAGTCTTTATGCACGCGCCTTGCGGGTGCAAAAGGTTTTTTTAACATAACAGCGCACTACGCGCGACATACAGAGTTTTAAGGAAGCTAATAATTTTGAATACACTAAATACCCAGGGCCAGATTTCCATACGCAACATATGTCAACATAGCGCATTCTATCAAGGACTTACAGAGAACTTTTCCATTGTAAGAACTCAATATAAAATTCACTAAACGGTTACCACAAATTGATCTTGGACTACATTGTCTCTGAAATTTGATGGTTAAATAGTAACAGTGAAAACTGAAATGCATGAAAACTCATCAACCAAAAGCAGGAGGCACATCGGGGTCCTCATCATTACCATCACGTGCTCGCTTGTGCTCCATTTCCGTAGACATGCCAGGTTTCAGTTTGTTATCATCGGTGGATGTTGGCATCAAATGAAACCTTTCTCATCTGACCAACTGTTGAAATCAATTGTCCAACATCGGACAGAGGAAAGGAGAAAGAGTACTTTAAATAGAATTACCGCACTCTAACTAACACCGAGGCCTTTTGTGATAAAACCCCACACCTGAGGATTGTACGGGTGGTTAATTGGGGACAATATCGGTGTTTTTGGAGTGGGCCCTCAGCCCGTCGACCTGAAAAATTCTACATGGTATCAGAGCCAGAGGACGGGCTCGTACTGCCACGTGCTTGGGTGGGTACTCGTTTGGCCTCGCGCGATGGGTGAGTCCCGACATGGCTCCACATAGGTCAAAGATGCCACGTGATTGGGTGGGTCCCCATTTGGCCCCGTGCGATGGATGAGCCCCGACATGGCTCCACGTGGTTGCCGATGTGCGGGGGAGTGTTGAAATCAATTGTCCCACATCGGACAGAGGGAAGGAGAAAGAGTACTTTAAATAGAATTACCCCACTCTAACTAACATCGAGGCTTTTTGTGATAAAACCCCACACCCGAGGATTGTGCAGGTGGTTAAGTGGGGACAGTATCAGTGTTGTTGGAGTTAGCCATTGGCCCGTCGACCTGAAAAATTCTACACCAACAAAGTACATTACACATTATATGCCATCATCATGGCTGCAAAAACCTTTTCGGTTAACACTCATAAATATGAAACAAACTCCAGAAAGTAAAGATTTCAAAAATAGTCAAATAGGTTAAAAAAATTTGAACTTTCAGTCAAATAGTCTACCTTGTCAATTTTTTTTTTTTTTTTGCATTACTGAAGGGGGAGATTTTTCTGTTTCTTTTGTCCTTTGCAGTGTTTGTTGGAATAAGAGTGTGTGCACCTAATGGAATCTGAGCAGGTTTTGTAACCTGCCTCTGGCCATTCTTTCTACCGCATCTTTCCTTCAACCTTAAGCCATGGCTGAAGAAGATTCAGTAAATATTGGGGGTGACATCTCGCATACCTCTCCTTCAAATTTCTCAGACGTCGAGATTAACACCAATCAACGCTTGTGCTCAATTATCTTCAATGAGTTTAATTATCTTCCTTAGTCTCGAGTTGTGTCACTAGCTTTCGGAGGCAAAGGGAAATTAGGGTTTGTAAATGGAAGTGTGGAAGCTCCAGTCAGCTTCTCCTCTACATACGGTGCATGGCTTTGCAAAGATCAACTTGTCATGTCTTTGTTGCTTAACACCATGGAGAAACATGTTGCTGAGATTTTTAGCTACTACAATTCTTCATGTGAGCTTTGGAAAGCCTTGCAAGATATGTATGGAAATCAAAACAACTATGCACATGTCTTTCAACTTAAGGATATTGTTAGTGCCCAACAAGAAGGGAAATCATTTGTTCAACATCTTGGAAGCCTCAAGGCCATGTGGAATGAGTTGGATGTATACCTTCCACATACCACAAATCCTACCATTCTCCTAAAATGAGCCGGGGAAGACTGAATCTACCAGCTGTTGAGGAGTTTGAACTTCGAGTACGAGGATCTAAGGAGTCACATCTTGATGAGTCAAGAGCTTCCCACATTCAACAATGTTTGTGCAACTATCCAACGAGAAGAAGCAAGGAAGAAAGTGATGAATGTTGAGCACAGCTCGAGATTAACTGAGACTCGTGCATATGCCTCAAACTAAAAGACCTCAGAGGCTAAAGTGTACAAGGGTAGAAATATACTTTTGAAATGCAAATATTGCAATGGCGTTGGCCATGTGGAAGACAAGTGTTGGGAACTTCATCCTGAACTCAAGCCTAAGTTCAGCAAAGATGGAAAAATGATACCAAGGTCCTCACAGCAATTTCAACCTCATTACAAGGCTCAACTTGTTAATGCTCATCCTTCTACTATCTCACAAGGATCCATGGAGTTCACTACCAACCCATTGTCACTTATCACTGAGTTTGCAGCTTACCTTCAAAGTAAGGGACATGGAGGAGGTTCACAAGCTCAAGGCAACGAAGAGAGCAGTCACACAGCCATGTTGGGATAGTTTGCCGGCTTTTTTGCTGGCAATGAGCAAGTTCCAAGGGATGAAGCACCAAGTATACTTAAAGCCTTCACTACTGTCCTATTAACTAGTACTGAAAGTGATTGTTGGATAATTTATTTAGGAGCCACTGATGATATGACAAACAAAGTCACAAATTTGCATCATTTTAAAAGTTTTTCAAGTCCCCACATGTGTCTGTTGCGAATGGAAAAAATGTCTTAGTTTTGGGAAAAGGAGAAATAAACTTACTCTCACACAAAACACCTTCCACTGCCTTATATGTACCAACTTTTCCTTTCCAACTTTTGTCAATTGGAAAGATCACAAACACCCTAAATTGCCATGCCATTTTCTCACCAGATAATGTGATGTTTCAGGATGTTCTCACCATGAAGATGATTGGTGAAGGGGTCTTCATAAATGGACTTTACTACCTATGCAAGAATGCCTATTTTACTTAAGCCCTTCAAGCTCAATCAAAGTCCATAGATGAAAACCAACTTTGGCATAAGAGATTAGCTCACCCCTCTGAAGTTATCTTATCTAAATTGTTTCCAAACTTTTGTAAATCTCATGTTCCTTGTGATACTTGTCAATTTTCTAAGTTTACTATACTACCTTTGGTAATTCAATGTCTAGGACAAGTAAACTTTTTGAAATGGTGCACACCGATGTATGGGGACCAGCAAATGAATCAATAGAAGGGTTTAAGTACTTTGTACTATTATATATATATATATATATATATATATATATATATATAATAACATAAAGTTAAAGTAATTGCACTGAAATAAAAAAAAAACGAACATAGAAAGATTTCACCTATGCTCTCATAAACGGACCTAGTTGTCCACTTGCTTAATGAACCCAACAATAAGTTATTGATATTACAGTCTGCAGCCCGCAATACCAATAACTCACTGTCGTCTTAACAAACAAGTAAGGAATTCCCGA